TGTGTGCCAACGTCTGTGTAAAAAGATGACACAGAAGGCTAATCATGCTGCCGAGTATTGCGAATTATCAGGTTTTTACAAATAATAACAGCTGTTGAGATCGTATAGACTCTCTGAAAAACCATGCATACGACAACTTGATGCTGTAGTCGTAGCCGATTGTTGCCCAATCCAGCTTCACATAAATGCACTTTCATTTAGATTCTGATGGCTTCTCCACATGCTCAAATTGTGATGTTTACAGTCGAGATAAAGGGATATATTAAATTTGAACAAACTAGATAATGAGTGTATTATAGCTAAAAACATACTCCACGTCATATTTCGCGATCATTATGCATCAGTCTAGAGTGGAACCGAACTGAATCTTCTGGTCTGACATCGACTTCATGTCGCATTTCTTCCAAGAGTTGAAGGTGGACCTGTTTTTGTTCTTGTAAAATTGCCTAGACATTGAGATTTAGATTGCGTTTGCACAAGCGGTACGAATAAAAGCTTTTACCATCACATGGGCAAGTAGTTCAAACATGCTATACCAGTCTTTACGATCCTTCCAAGCAATAGGAATTCTGGCCGTTCTTAGCGTAAGATACTCGTACATCTTCTTCTCAGCTGTGATGGATACGCCAGAAAGCGTCATGATGTTCTTAACAGTCTGAACTGTTAAGATTTGAAGCTCGGCAAATGTTGAAAAAGAGGCGTCCATGCATTCTGCTTGCTTGGCTTTCAGTATCTGAACCGCGGATTGGAGCTGCTTCACTGTGTCATCCCTTGTGTGGAAGACATTCTCTGTAAGGGCTCCGCTGGAAGCCTCCATCACCATACATTCCCCGTATTCACTTTCACCAAGGCCATCCAGATATCGAACCGTCTCTGTTGGATATAATGTATTCAGTATTGTGCATTTGTAAGGCAGTTACATTAGCTTTAATTACCAAAATCTTGGGCGTCGTAGAGCTTTGTCGCAATGGAACGAGAGGTGCTAGCCGTTTCACACCTATTGAAATAGATTGTAAGATAGCTTCTTTACATTTCCTCCGTTCTCGAAATTCTTACCACTTAAAGGAAGCTAAATCGGTAAGGAAACCAAAATATCTGAACATGGGGATGACGGAGTTAATCCAAAAGGTCCTTTCATGATTATCAGTGTATTTGAAGCTGGGTTGGTTACGCCTCACTGCACAGAAATCTTGAAGGGTAGCTTGCATGATCGCAAGGAACTGGCCATGATAAGTTGAAGAGTCGATATTCTCGGCGCACCTAGCATGTGCTTCTGATGGAGTTTTGGCCTCCAATACTCTGTTGAGAAATTCGATCGCACTTGGTATCGCTTTAAGGCTCAAGCGAGTACGACTATTTTCTCTGTTGGAAGCAAGTTTCTCCTCCATTTCTTCGCTTACAGACCCAGATATTCCGAAGAGGACCAAAGATTCCAACGCATCTGCTTCGGCCCTTCTGAGGTTGGGTTTATTCATGGAACGAACGTTCTCACTCCATAAAGGGATCGCTGTTTGTTTCCCTTTGTTTCGAGATAGCCGCGGGGTGACCGGTCCTTGACTTCTTCTACTCTTAAATACACAGCATGTCAGTTCAGACAAAGCAGCATGAATGTTAGTCAGTACTTACTTTTCGTTGGGATGGACTATTATCAGTCATGTCAGAGAAACGTCGCTGTAAACTAATGTTAGAATGGGAACAATAGCTTAGTCATAAATCAAGTATTTATCTCACTTTCTGGTAAGCAGCCGTATTCAAAGGTTCCAAATATGTAGATTGTGAAGCTGGTTGCTGCTCGATTAAAGAACTGGAAGCTGCCGGCTCCTCAATTACAACGCCTGAAACTGATGAATACTCCATTGGAGAACTGGCAGTTTCCGGCTCCACAACTATATCACCTGAAGCTGATGGTTCCGCAATCACAGGGACTGAAGCTGATAGTTCCTCAGTCACAAGAGCAGAAGATAATAATTCCGCAATAACAGGAGCAGAAGTTGATGGTTCCACAATCACAGGAGCAGAAGTTGATGGTTCCGCAAGCACAGGAGCAGAAGTTGATGGTTCTACAATCACAGGAGCAGAAGCTGATGGTCCCGTCATCACAGAAGAAGAAGCTGAAGGCTCCTCAGTTGCAGTCAAAGGGCTTGAAGCCAGCAGTTCCGCAGTTATGTCCTCCTGAGCTGACGGTTGTTCACCCACTCCTGGAAGCTCCGAAGGTTGGTTGCCGAGAGATATAGGAAAATCTGGTTTGATGCATTAGATAGTACTTGCAGTACAATTTTGATAAACCTGCACTTACTATGCACATTCACTAAATGCTCCTTGTACGCCTCTTGGTCGCCTGTATTATACCGGCAAAGTGGGTAAACGCAAGTGTCGTTAGTATCTTGGTATAGCTTGATATCTATGGAAGTTACGATTGCATAGCCTATATGACAGAAGTGAGGATGGCATAGAAGGCTGGTGTAAATATACATATAGCGCTACATACCATGTACATCTCTGATATGTCTACGAAGCGACCTATTGTTGCGGTAGCCAAAACGGTTGTAAGAGCAGTTGTCGTATACGCAGCGCATGTTTGAAATTTGTTCTTGAGAATAAAATGAAGAAATTGTAACGAAATGATATTTCAATGTAGATTTCTTTTATAACTTTATTCACGCGGGTCACACCATTTTCACAATGGTACCTGTGCTCCTTTCCATTAACATCTTTTTCTCCTCTTGTCTCATGCCGCTCACTATGATCCGTATCTCTGCGTCGCCACAAATGACAGAATTCTTCTGTTATGTATTGCAGACGGCCATTGCGCCTCCGAAGATTATTTGTGAACAATGACTCTGTTCTTCCAAGTCCCATTGAATGCACAATCATATCGCCTCTATTCCTGATGACTACGAGGCGGCCCGTCCTGTACCTTGGGAATATATTTGTTCTTTTGGGACCTTCCGTGAGGCGCAAGATGGTGATACGACCGCGAGTTCTCATGGGGTCCATTGGTTATCTACTTTATTGCCTTGCAGCCATCTTGTCGAATAAGGTAATTTCGAAATATCTCTTCGTACAAATTTTTTTTTGAGATATTCTCACCCGCAACAACGATGATAAAAAAAGGGAGAACTAACTCAAAATTTCTTTCTTTATTATAATAGACGACCTGTTGTATATCAAACACCTTGCAATAGCTATTGGCGAGCTAAGCGATGTCAGCTTTTGAGGTATCGGGTAGCGCTTGAAAGTAGTTTTCAGCTTTGTGACTGCTGAAGAACAATGCACTTTCCTGCTTGATTGATCAAGCCTTTTCACGTCTCATACGAAAGTAACAACACTAGAAACTGATAAATAAATTGCTTGTAATTTCAATGTTTACTTTTATGTAGAAAACATTTCTAATACATAATGATGATTACCTCAAACTTTGGGTTCTGGCCGATTTGGAGATAATAAACCAAAGTGGTACAAACCAAGCGTTCAGGATTGGCTGCAATAACGAAATGGTAGCGTGAAGCAAAGATTTGAAATTTTTCAAGAAGGAGATATTGCAACTGGCAACGTATATACGCATGGAATAGCATAAATGAGTTACTGTCGACGTTTGAAGGACAGCACTTAACGATCAATGATGTCGTTTTTCGTTATTCATTCTTTATAGGCAAGGGCGGTGATCACAGTGTTACTGACACTGTAAATATATCATTTCTATTTACTGCTATCACATCCACAACGAGAAAGGCTTAATAATTGAAGACTCTATCGGAATTACCAAATTATACCAAAGGTAGTGTCTGTATCTCGTCAGTATGTGAGATAAGTTACCCAGCATTGACGATAAATACACGACATTTTACATAAAAAACGAGAAAAAACTCCTCTAACCTGGTCATAAATTGATCAAATCATCAGTATTTCTGTGGGCTTATGAAGTTTTATTTGCGACTTTGAGCCAAATGCTGATACCTTGTGGACAATAATGCCAATAGATTTGCTCGCATTTACTAAGCTTCTTCTATTATTCCACAAACCGGCTTTAAGGTAGCTCAACAACGCAATGTAGTCCTTGACAGATCAAGAATGTTCAGTAATTGTTGTTAGCATCATCTAGGCTTTCATTGACGTAATGCTTCGTCTACCCGAAGCCAAAGACAGGAAAATGTGTAGCTTTTATGGCAGTGCTGCCTAATCAAGCTGTTGTTCGGTTGGATGCTCAGTATATCATCCGTTCGGCCGCTTTTAGCGCTAGGATTAAGCGAGAAGTGTGAATAAAGTAATTCACATCGATGATCCGACTCACGGTACTAATAAGTATCAATATCAGGACAAAAGTTGGTTTGTGTTGATCCCTTTAGCACGGTAGGCATGGAAACGAAAACATTTTTTATTGTTACATGTTCTCTACATCCAGTAAGCGGTTCATTGTCTACAGTAACTTACTGATGCGAAATCATTCCGGCTTTGACCTTTTTCGCAGAGTGAGACAAATAATCGAGCTCGAGAAAAGGAACACTCACTTGAAGTTGAAGTCGCACACACACAGCCATATGTTTTCTAGCTAACTTAGAGAGATTTGGGATGATGCTTCTTTCATCTCCAAAATTGCAGCACATCAAAACCCTCCGTTGCAGGCGATGACTTTCGGTAATATAGCGTGTATATCATCATCCTGTCCGATCACTTGTTGAAATAGTAACTGCGCAGAGTCTGTAGGAGAAGGAACAACAGGTCGAAATTCCTGCCAAGCCAGACGCACGGTCTCCTTGCCAACTTCAATATCCCGCTGTCGGAATATCGCTTTCTCGCAGAATGCAAACTTGGAACGAGGGTCCAAAGTTATCGCCGTTGCCAATAATAAGCCGTTCCGGTTTTCACTAAAGTACATGTCCACCTTGCCAATGGCTTTCATCAACCGAATTGCAAAACTTTCAGCTGCGGGCTATATCGATTTCTGTGAGAGTGAACAGTTAGATGCTACATCGCAAGAAAATCTGCATTCATTGTGATTCACCAACCTAAACCACCTTCCATGGGAGGTAAACTTTTTCGTAAGTTTACCTACGATATCGTTGCCGTATCAATAGTTGCGTATCCAGAGGCAGAGTTCGATTTTGTTAACTTTCAAAGGGTTCCAGTATGCGCATAGCTGCTTTTAGGAATTCTCAATTTGCCACAGATAACCGCATATACCCAGGTCCGTTTTCAATCGTTATCCAGGGCTGACGACTGCGATATTTCCTTTGATCATTTCGCATGTGCCATTCCATCAAGTTCTGACATCTAAAGAAAGCTGTAGATCAGGTGAGTTCAAGGATTGACAGTAACGCTGGTAGACCACTTCATTTGAAGAGAAATCTAATCCATGCGACGCACTGCCTGAGCTTGTCAACAGGTTTTCCTCTTGAGCCTTCTATAGTCATATCTACTATCTGATCGTTAGGACCATGGCCCATCCCAGCATTCAAAATTTCTTGGACTGCAAGAGTCAATACGTGTCCAATACAAACCATCCGATAAACATGAACTTGAGCATGGGAATGGTCACTTTGCCGAATAAGCTCCTCAATCTTCTCAACCGTTTTGAGCATGTAATTAGAAAGTCAGTCGTAATGGCAAAAATAGAACCAGTCAAGTCCAATTTCCGAGTGCGTCGACAAAGTAGTTGCCAGATTACCACCTGTCATACACCTTTTAAACATGCAAAGCATAAATCGCTAATCGGCAATAGAGTTACGGAAGAATAGCTGAATGTGATCCCAGAACTGGGCTAAGAACTATCAGCACACCTTTTTTTTTTTCAAAATCACAATCTATTCAACGAGCTGTTGTTCCGAGGTAGGAAACTTTCCAGGACTTTTCCAAACATCCGTAGTATAGCTTATCCATCCTGTGCCTCAAGTATTCTCTTGGCTTCTTCAACCTTCAGATCAGATCAAAATAGCGGAAGATACGGTTGCGGAGAGTTTCCACGCCGGCCATTTTGATCTCGGCATGAGCGCTAAGCCGAGCGTAATTTAGTAACCTTCTAAAGCTTGGCTTTTCAACGACGCTTAACGGAAGTTTGCATTCGATGATCATATTAACAGTCAGGTTGTCCCGCTCTTCAGGTTGATAAATTTTGGTTTTGGGCCGTCGAAAGTAAGATATCATGCAAAGTCAGTATTTTCAATACGCGCGGTACTATTCTCAGTTATGACGAGTCGGCAAAGCAAGTGTGAGATCATTGGTCTTCTCGCATAGGTAATGTAGCTGACATGCTGCAAATAATGAAAGACATCTAAATGACCAACTTTGAGTTGAGTTCTACTGTTTCTCCATGATGCACTGCATTGCCCAAACTTTGGCTTTTTCTCCGCTTGCGATTTTAAACATTGCTGTTAAAAGGCAAGGGAATATAAAAGACGTTCGACAAAAGCTAAATGCCACCTAGGTACTGTCTACTAACATGTTAATCAAATTGATATTTACGATAAGGTGACCACTTCGAAGAATGCATCTTTGTACATCACTGCCGCTATCTCCCAAGTGTTATATTTTATCGTTGTTGTAAAGTCACTTGACCTGACTCCACCTGTGCCTAAACCATCCTATGCCCTAAGCCGCTCACTATGATCTGTACCTATGCCCGAATATATCAGAGAGAACAATCCACTAATAAACCATAGACGTTCTTTCCCTCTTATTTATAACTGACTGACTTTTCGTACCCTGTGGAATTCCTCTGACTTTTGGCACATAACTACCTCTGAAACCAGTAATCCCTGACTGACTGACTAATATGATTACTTACTTCTGTATGGTACTATGGTTCCTCTGTGTTAAGACCTTGGCAAACTCTCTGACTCTATCTATCGGACTACCTCTATCTAGTATTCGGAAATGGCGCTTATTTACACGTCTTAAGCAATTCTGTGCTGGACGCGTGACTGCCTCCTATGGATCGATCAATTTACTTTCAAACAAACTACAACATTTGATCTTTATTTCTCACCTTAAAATCACGTGTAATACATCTTGACTCTATATGGTGATACGTCATTTTGAGGTAAGAAATAATGACATTTCACGTGCGTAGATTTTGACCATATAGAGTCAAAATTTAACACGTGAGGTTATTCAAGAAAACAATCTGAATCCACGTGATTTTGAGGTAGACCATGTAAAGTCAAAATGTACCCACGTGATTTTGAGGTAAGAAATAATGACATTTCACGTGTGTAAATTCTGACCATATAGAGCCAAAGTAATCACATGACTTTCGTCAAAGAAAGAAAACGTGTGAGGTAGGACGCACGTGTGCAAATTTTCACCATATAGAGTCAAGATATATCCACGTGATTTTGATGTAAGAAATAATGACATTCACGTGTGTAAATTTTGACCATATAGAGTCAAGATATACCCACGTGATCTTGATGTAAGAAATAATGACATTTCACGTGTGTAAATTTTGACCATATAGAGTCAAAATTGATCACGTGACTTTAGTCAAGAAAACGATGGGAAGCACCCACGTGATTCGAGGTAAGAAAATACAGTCCTTGAACTCTGCCAAAAAATTAAAACGGATATCTTCCAATATACGATTGTTTTCTTCGAATATGCACCTCTGCCTACCACAATATGAGCTGACTGCTTATTTGCCAATAGCAATTTCATAAAATCATGAGA